TGTGACTCAACTCCCAGATCCCAGCCAGCCTGGGGAATTCTGGGAGTTGAAGTCCACACATCTTAAAGTTGCCAAGGTTGAGAAGCACTGACCTATATCAGTAAAGCAGAATTCCAATATTCCTTGAGGAGTCTCATTCCTGACTTGGCCTACCTTGAAGGGCTGAGAAAGAATAACAGAATCTTGAAAGCCTGCCCAACTTTTTCTCTGTTCCATCTTACACAAAAGGAAGTCAAGGAGGGGTTATTTTGACTTTCTTTCTCACATGTGCTTCAGCCCCTGGATGATGTAACCTTTCCTCCAAGCCCCTTCTTAACAGGTCTCTCCCATCCCTTCCTCATGGTCAGCTCTAAATTCCTTTGCAGACCCGGGCCAGACATTGGGGCCTGACCCATGCAGAATGGAGTGGCCCTATTGCTTCCTATGATTTGGGAATGAAACCACTGTTGATGCTGCCTAAAACTGCATTTGGTTTTTAGCAGCCTCGTCACACTGCTGACTCATGGTCAGCTTGTGATCAGGTACAATCCCAAATTCTTTTTTACACACACTGTTACTGAGCCAGGCATCTCCTATGCACAGCATGCCTCTGATTTCTCCTGCCTTGGCATTTATCCCTGTTCAGTTTCATTCTGTTATTTTCAGGCAGTGCCTCCAGCCTAGAGAGGTAATTTCGAATTTTGTATCTGCCTTTTCTATCCTATCCTGTTTTTCTGCAAATCTGGTCAGAGTTCTCACCATCTCTTCATCCACATCGTTAATGAAAATGTTAAAGAGTTCAAGGATCAGACACAAATTCTGTGTTATTCAGGTTGGTTGGTTGATTATGATAAAGTTGGCGCTGACTCTTAGTGACCACATAGATGGGTTTTCTCCGTGATGATCTGTCCCTAACCTTATTGATACCTCATTTCAATTGGATGAAGAACAGTTGATAAGCATTCTTTAAATGCGGTTTTCAAGTTTGCAGTGGATATAATCCAGCTCTGTTTAACAAGCTTGCTAATCAAAAAGTCCTGTGTCAGCTGTTTTGTTGAAGACAAGATATATTACATCAACAGCATTCCCACCATCTACTTAGGAAGTTACTTTATTTTAAAAAAATGAGGTAAGGTTAATTTAGTAAGACTAAATTCTTAGTCTTGACAAATTCTTGTTTTCAAGTACTTATAGATCTGTTCTGGACCCACTTTATAATGTTTCCAGAAATAAATGTCAGACTGGTCCTGTATCCTCTTTTGCCCTCTTTTTCAAGCACGTAGATTGAGAAGAATATCACTTTTTTCAGCAGATGGAACAAGAAAGAAACCCTTCACACTTCCTTCATTTTTCCTTTCCCTCTCCTCCCCCTCCTTTATAAATACTGCATAGCAGAGGCTGCCTTCAGGACCAGTGGAATGTTGTAGAAAGCCTACTGAATCAATGTAAATTAAGAACTTAGCAAACTTTATTTTAGGAGTGTGTACACCTCCCCTCAAATGATTAGTCTGTTTCCAAGAACTGCTCCAATTCCCCCCCCCCAATTGTAATATTTAATATGAATAATGAATAAAGCCTCAGCTGGTGACAGCACCTAGTTGAGCTCATAAAGTTAAATTGGGCCAGTTATTTAGAAGGGAGACCACTAGGAGATCCTACAGCTATAGGCTAGATTCTCATCACTTAATTTAATTATCTTAAATCAGTTTCAATTTTAATAGCGTCATTTCGTTTTAGCCTGGCCCCACCCACTTTTTTTGGACCCACCTACTTTTTGGAGTGTAGCCTGCTCGTACCTTTGTTTTACCTGATTTACAGTAAAGCAGATACATAAAACCAAGTCCACAGAACCGCTTTTATCCAGAATTCCTCCCCAGCCATGATTTTAGCTTTTTTTTCCCCGTGTGGATGGTCTTACAGTATTTTAGTTTTGCTTTGTTTTTGATTGTTAGAGGTGATGAGAGCCCTGGTGGACAGAAAAACAGGCTATTAATGGAAATAGTCAATGAAGAAACATTTCTGGGATCCAGGAACCAGGTTGTCTTTCTCCTCTCAAAGCTGTGCAGAGGACAGGCCAGGATGGATCTCCACCAGGATGGGAGAAACCTTCCTGCAGTGTGAAAATGTGTGTGTGTGTGCGTGTGCGCCCCAGCTTTCAGTGAAAGCGTGGAAGAAAACTGTTGTGAGAGTTGCTTCTCATCCAGATGAAAGGACGATCAACAGATTGAATCAGCTCCTTTCTTTCACAAAAGAGACAACCTTCTTTCCCCCGAAAATTGGAAAAGCAGGAACTAATAAGAGTTTGGCTGCCTGGTCTTGACTGTGTATATATATAGGTTTCCCATTTGAAAGCAGACACTTGCTGGAATTCTTGTACGGCAATCTTTATCTTCCCTTGAATAAAGACTGTTGATCAGAGCCCCCAGACTGTAGTTCCTGACAGTTTTCTGTCCAAAGGAGAATCTAAGAAGTCTTGTGCCCACACAGGGTCGTTTCTAATTGGGTTTCTAAGGAGTGGCTGTAGGTGTTTGGGCCACCCAGATCTGAGGATATTCTGTCTTTGACGCCGGATGGCATTGCACTTCCCTTCTCGAGGCTGGTGTGCAATCTGAGGGTCTTCCTGGACTCGCAGCTCTTGATTGAAGAGCAAGTGGCAGCTGTGGCCAGGAAGGCCTTTGCACAGCTTCATCTGGTGCACCAGTTGCGCTCTTTCCTAGATCGGGGGGCTCTTCGGACAGTCACTCATGCCCTGGTCCCCTTGCGGTTTGACTACTGCAATGTGCTTTACATGGGGCTGCCCTTGAAGACTACCCAGAAGGTCCAGAATGCAGTGGTGCAGGCAGTGATGGGCATGCCAGTAACACCTCCGCTTCGCAAGCTGCACTGGTTGCCGGTTTGCTTCTGGGTGCGATTCAAGGTGCTGGTTGTTACCTATAAAGCTCTCCATGACATAGGGCCTTGTGGGACCGCCTGCCTCCATAATATTCTCCTCAGCTGATTCAACCCTGCAGGGTTGGTGCGCTCCAGGTTGCTTCAATTAAACAAGGCCATCTATCAGGAACCCAGCAGTGTGCCTTCTCTGTGGCAGCACCTGCCCTC